TTTCTTGAACACCTACCATATGCCAGGCAGTACTAAGTGCTTTATAGATTACTTTATCATTATTCAAAGTAGGTGCTATTACCATCTCTGTTTTTAGATAAGGAAACTGAGGCTCAGATGGATTAAGCAACTTGACCATGATTCCACTAATGATGAGTGGCATATCTGAGATTCTGAAAGTCAAAGTTATATTTCCCTCCTCTCCTGTGTGATTACTCTGTGTTCAAATGTCTACAGAAACTGGGATGGTGATCAGAAAAAACTTCAGAGAAGAGACCAAATGGGATGGCTTTGAAGGATGAGTTGGAAATGAAACAATGGAAATAGTTGGGAGAGAGGGTACCTGGCATTGCAGGTAGAAGACATAATGGACAAAGGCTCTGTGAGCATTGTTTTGTATTTTATCTGTGAGCTCATCTCCCCAATGCCTGTTTGTACATCTTGGACAGGTATATGAACTACTGTATTGAGTTCTGACATGGTTGTTTGTTAAGGCCACTCTATCATGATTAGGTAATGGGATCCCTTCTAAAGGTGGAGGGCTTCTGAGTACCTCATCTATGGAAGGGAACATTCTACTGACAGGATGTTGATTCTCTTAGTTTTGGCGAGGCAACTCTTAGAAAACATCTGCTTCTTTTAAGTTTACTACTTTGTGAGTCTGCACTTTGAGATGGTTTCAAGAGCCTTACTGAGTGGTAAGGTAAGATTCTTCTATCTTGATGTAGAGAGTGCATAGCAAGCAGTCCTTCCATAGAAGATATTTTGGAAGATACAATTGAAGATATTCTAGAAGACAGATTATCTTGCTTTATTTTACTCTAATTCCTTTTTGTAATGTGAGGACTTCAGCAAAGTTTTATTTAAATGCTTACAGTTGATCTTGGCAATATTATGTCATTTGAGCCCAAACCAGTAATGCCCCCTGAGGTCAGGGTGGTGAGGGTAGCAGTAATCCATTCTCTCTCCCCCAAAATATCTACATTATTATTAATCCCTACAATATCTATATCAACATACATTTTGAAAATACTGACACATGCATGTCTGAGCTATTTTTTTTTATGTGTTTTACAGAAAGTGTAGTTTGTGCTATGGATTTTCTGATATTTTTGCAGTAACTCTGTAGCTTCCCTCCCAGGTAAAGACACACACACAAACACATACCTATCTGCCTCCCGGCCTTGGTGACAGAGGTGTCTTATTACATATTTTACCAAATGCCTCATAGGAAATGTAGGGCGGAAGTGGCAGTAAGAAGGCCATCATAGCAATGACAGTCTGTTACAAGGTGCAGAGGCAGTAGCAACCTCCCTGCTTTCTACAAGAACATATCCTACTTTCTCTTCAGTACATATCAGAGAAAGATCTAACTTCTTACCCAGGGATTTGAAAACTTCCCAGATTGAGTCTACATGTCCATTTCTAGATTTTTTAAATTAGAATTTCCTTTACCAAATGCTCTCTTTTTCTGCCAACACACATTTTTCTCATTTCTACTTCTTGCTTTATATAAAATATTCCTCGTGAAAATACCTACTAGTCCCTCAAAGCCAGATTCACCTCTTTCCTGAAGCTTTATCTGACTTTGTCCTCAGCCTATCTCTTTCTTCCTGGTACCATCCATTTTGTTACTTAACTATATTCTTATTTTTCACTTACTTAGATTTACTTCGATTCAGTTCAATTCATACTTATTAGCACTTTCAGAGTCCCACACGGCAGGCCAGTTTCCAAGGTTAACAAACAGATTGAAAATTCTGTGTCTGCTTCTATGGAACTAAGTAGTTTCCTCTTATACATTTTAGATCCCCAACTTTACTGCAAGCATTTTGTTTTTATATACCCTTTCGCATTAAGCAGACAGAAATGGTTTAAGAATACATTTTAATCGAGATAATAGAAAGGGCGTCACTGATGAGATTTTCTCTCACGGGTTATGTATGGAAAGTCTTGAATCTTAAAAATGACTGAATTCTGTGGCTGTAGAATATTTACCTCTGACCATGGTGAGGTGGCTGATTAGAAGGTAGTCAGGTATTGGCTGAACGCTGAACCTGGATTATTGTCTAAGGAACCCACCCTAAGCTCAGATGGAGGGTGGAAAGGCAAGAGATCTGTCATTAGGGGTTCTGATCAAAGAACACCACAGAACCAGACTGTGAAGGGTCTGGGTGCCTGGTAGTGGTTCACTGTGTTGTTTGTAATATATGAAGGCTGACAGAATCAGAAATGACTGGATTTGGAGTTTAAAGAAATGGATCCCTCAATTTTTTCTTCGCTGTATCATCTATATGTCAAATTTTGGACTGCCACTCTTCCATGTCCTCTGTTGGGTGGAAGCATGAAACACCACAGTCTCTCAGCAATCCCCCATAGGCTGGCAGAAGGGACTGCCCATGAAAGATGCTCATTAAATGTCGCTTGACTTTAAGTTTTCCAATGAATAACCCCAGTAGGATCAAGTGACTTCTCTGTCAAAGCACAACGTCAGTGGAGGAAGCAAGAAAAGTGGAGGGTCCTTGGCACACTAGCATTTCATTATATCTTATCTTTGAGCAGTAAATCCCACCAGTGCTGCAGTGTTCCACTTACAGGTATACCCGCACATACCCACTGAGAAGACCTGCTTTACCTCCAAACTCATGTGTGACAGCTACGGAGGAATCAGGGGGAAAAAGTGAACATTTCCATATCTAATTAGTGAAAGAGTTAAAACTGGAGCAAGGCCATGGGAAATTGCTTTAACTCCTTGAATTTCAGCTTCCTCACCTCACTTCTAAAATGTGGAAAATAATAACTATGCCACTTGAAGTTTTACTCAAGTGTTCACTGTCATCTTGTTTGGTTTCAATGTGATAGAAAGATTGGAAGTTCAAAAGGTAATGCTCCTGTTCTCTGGCATATTCCACATGCCCTGTATCCAGGAGTTTTGTGCTTCCTGGTTCCTAAAGGAATTAAGTTTCTTTGTCAAGTAGGCATTCCCCTCTGCCATGGTCACTACCACCCAGAGCTTTGTTTGGATATCAGAGATTGCTGTGGATAGGAAAGAGGAAACTAAGTGGTGGCTGATTTTTAGTTATCTCGGGTGGGTTAAGCAAAATTTGATTTGAATTAAAAAATTAAAAGCATGTGATAGTATTTGCATGTCAGTGTTATGGAAGAAGTTCATATTGGAGTTAATGTAAGGGCTGAAATCAACATATGTGAAAGTACCTAGCCCAGTGCCTGACTCAAAGTCTAGTCTCAATAAGTGCTTATTTCTCTTTTCTGCCTGTTTATTTGTACTTTGTTACTCAGGAAATGCCTATCAGTTGAGCCATTTGAAATCCAAATATCTATCCTCAACTTAGACCAGCTGCCAACAAATTGGATATCTTGTACCCCTAGTGTGCACAGAAACTCCTGGTGGGGGGTTGAGTGGGTTGAAAGAGACTTAGGGAGTATGTTTCTAGATCCTCAAACTCCACATTTACTTTTTCCTCAAATTGATCAGCCTGAGTTGGATGTCATTCTAGTTCTCTTTCCCCAACTTTCCTTTCATAATCATCTTTCTACCACTTGACAGAAGAAAGGAATACCTCCCACCATTTCTGAATCTTACTGAGTTTGATTACTGTGTTGCCTGGGGAGAGCCTGGGGAGAGGTTGTCATATAAAGAAAAAACAGAAATGAGAAAAATATGTGTTGGCAGAAAAGGAGAGCATTTGGTAAAGGAAAGTTCAATAAAATAAAATCTAGAAGGAGAAGTTTAGGCTCAGTTTGTGAGGTTTTCAGATCCTTGTCTGGAGTTGGGGCTTTCTCTCATATGCACTGAAGAGTCTCTGTAGAAAGCAAGGAGGTTGCCAGTGCCTTCTGCACCTCGTAAAAGACCATCATTGCTCTCATGGCCTTCCTATTGCAACTTGAGCCCTACGTGTCCTATGAGGTATTTTGTAAAATATGTACCATATATTTTGTGACATATATGATATACAATATGTAATATATATTATGTTTATATATTATTAAAAGATATGTCTAGTAAAATTTTACTTTTTTATTCAATAATTATCAAATTTTGTAATATATTTATGTTGTTTGGAAGTTTTGTGCTACTAATAATCTTAATAGGTAATTCAATCTAGAAGAAATTATAAACATAAGAGTATTATGGAGGGGCACCTGGGTAGCTCATCAGTTGAGTGTCTGACTTGGGCTCAGGTCGTGATCTCACGGCTTGTGGGTTCCAGCCCTGCATTGGTCTCTGTGCTGAAAGCTTGCTCAGAGTCTGGAGCCTGCTTCAGATTTTGTGTCTGTTTCTCTCTTTGCCCCTCCTCCGTTTGTGCTCTGTCTCACTTTGTCTCTCAAAAAAATAAATGAATGTAAAAAAATTTTTTTAAAAAGAGTATTATGGAAATAGGAAATTAAAAACTTAAGTACATATTTGAATAACATGTATACTTTTGTTGTAGAGAACTATGATAGGGTGATCAATACAGCATGGAGATACATTTCTTTGGACAAATTTTATGAGGTCATTCTCTTTGATGACTAAAAAGCAACAATGTCAAATATATGTTAAAAGAAGTTTTTATGTACCTACTTTGAAATGGATGGATTTCAAATCATTGTATTATTTAGATTTCATTGGATAGATTTATAAGGAGGATTTGTTTTTAAATGTTACTATTTACACACTGGAAATGTCACCCTTTGCAATTATTTAAATTTATGACGAGAAATTTTAAAGGACAGGAGTTAAAAATGTGCGAATGGGCACTTAACTTTCGAACTTTGGGAGTAAATAATCCAAAAAGTTTGAAGATTACTATTACAGGTAACGCGCAAAATGCAGTTTGGTTTAGGAGGGTGCTCTGCTTACGGTGGATAGGCAAGGAGGGTTGGGGAGACACGGGGAGAAATGGGAGCTGGGGAGCAGGGGAAACGATTGGGTGTAGTGCAGTGGGCGTTCCATAGAGGGGCGCTGGTGACAGGGAGACAGAGAGGCGTCGCCTGGGATGGGCGCACAGCAGTGGCTCTTGGAACGAGCGCCGGCCAACAAAATGGCGACCGTTTGACTGAAAGGTTCGGCTCCTCAACGATCTGGCCAGATTAGTGACAGCATATTGGTTTGGGGCAACAGCTGCTGTCAGGACAGGCTTCCAGCGACGTGGGACGTGAAGGGGTTTCAGCCAAGCCCCGTGGGTGAGTTGGAGTCCGTGGTGGTGGAAAGGAGTCATTTTTTTCACTTGCGAGATGCCCAAAGGCCCGTTTCTGAACACTCATGGCTCAGCTAACGCGGAGCAGTCTGTGTGACTTACACATAGAAGTGAGAACACCTCAGAATTTCACACGCTACTTAGGAAAAGGTGTAAGGTGTTAGTTGGTTGTCATGAATAACGGGTTTGCCCACCGAAGAAGCCCAGGGTTGCTTGGTGATTATAATGACATCGGTGTAAATACAAACTCACTCTCCAAAGCCAGTCGACACTGGGTTAATTCAACTTCTCAAGTTTGTGGAAAGAGTACTCGTATCTCTGTGTTCTCTGATCTCCTGGGAAAGGAGGGCTATTTTCCATGAAAGTGGTGACCTGGGAGAAGCCTGCAAGGTGTCCCGGATTGTGGCACTGCAGAGACCGTTTCCAAAGTCTTGTTTCAGGTGTTAGTTGCGGCTTGTTTATCGGACTTGAAACAAAATCTAACTAGTCAAATACAAATATAAAAATATCCCCAAGACAAAAGTACCTATTTATTAGATTATTTTTAATTTCACATTATCTGAACCCTGACTTCTATTCCACTTTCTCCCTTTCTTTTAGTAAAGAAGTGATCATATGATTGTATTTATATTTTGTAAATGCTCCCTGGTTCCCCAGCGGCCATTTTTGCCTATAAAGGAAACTCTAACGTTTTAATCTGGCATTCAGAAGCCTCCATAAATTTGCCTCAATCTGTATTTCTTATTTTATTTTCTATCATTTTCCCACGTGGAACAGCAGCTCAGTCTGGCTGTTTCTTGCCACCTGAATATAACATGAGGATACAATAGGATCCAGATTAATATACAAACAAAGGATGATAGTGGGTCACTTTGGATAAGGCAATTAAGGAATGTTTCATAACAGAGATGAGATTCGAATTGATCTTTGACATGATGGATTTTCAAGGCCTGGTCTTAGAGTAAAATACTGAGCTATTGGTGAGGAGCTAGGTGTGGCCTAGCTTTCTAGGACATTTACTCAAACAGTAAAGATGCCAGGAGGCCCAATACTGTTTGGCCTTTTATTACACACCGCACCAAGGTGATAAAATCACCTACATTAGATGTGTATTGAGATCTGTTTCCACACATGGAGTCGTGAAGTCGGAACTTCCTGAGATTTGGCCCATTGGTAGGCAGAATCTGGTATAGGACAGTTCTGTTTAGTATCCTATTTGTGTTGGTTTATTATTACTATGATCACAGAACAACTCCATATATTTCACCTACAGTAGTTAATATAGGTGTTATCCAGGAGTACCCCTCGGCAGGGTGGTGATTCATGTTTTATTGTCATCCTGGGATTTAAAAAAATAAATGACCCTGAACAAGGAACCTGAGAGTACAGATTCTAGATCTGGCACTGCTACTGATGCTAATAAAAACAAAATAACCATTTTCCCCCCTCCTTAATTTCTGCACCTGGGAATATATGCAGTAATAACTTCCTTGCCTATTTGTAAAAGTTCAGTAAATATTGAATCAGCTAATATATGCAAAAATATTTCCAAGGAATTAAAAAATCACTAAAATGTATGGGATCAAATTCCAGGTTCTTTTTGTTTTCTCTGAGGGTATAATTGGGTAATCTGAAAACCGGCCATTCAAGTGCATTAGGTAGTATAGGTGAAGACCTGGGACTTTTTTTCTTTTATATTTCCATTGCCTAAATAGTGTCTGTCACATAGTAGGTACTCATTGTATGTTTATAAAATGAAGGAAAGAATACGTGACTGGAGGCATTCAGTGGCCTCCTTGTAGCCAGCTGACGTGGCCACCAAAGCTCTGTGTCCAGGTGACTGGCTGCGTGGAGTCCTTGAACTGTGTGTTTGCTTAAGGATATCCTGCTTCCACCTGCTCTTCTCCCCGACTGCTTTATAAGAGTAATAGATAACGTTGTTTGAGGACTAGGAGCCGTGAGGTGCTTTGCATAAACTATCGGTAATCCTCACAATCCTGAAAAGATGTGCATCCTTCTTTTGAACATCAGAAACTTATGCCCAGAGAAACTAAGCAATTTACTAAAAATCAGAGCTAATGCCTCAATTTGGATAGTCTAGATTATGCTGTTGTAGTAAACAGCCTCCACCTCTCAGTGACTGAAAACACAAAGGTTCATTTTTTTGCTTCTGTCACACGCTCGCAGTGAGTCAGCAGGAGGGCCCTGCTCAGTGTAGTGGGGTCACTGACATAGCAGAGCAGCAACCGTCACAAATATTACTCTACCACGGGAAAAGACGTCTCTAGAGAGTGTCATACCAGCCGTAAAAGCTTGGCCTACAAGTGACATGCATCCCTTCTTCTCACAAAGCATTTGCCAGGATTAGTCCTATGCCTCCACCTAACCACAGGCAGGCTAGGACATGTCGTCCTATCGTATGCCTGGAAGATAGAGTGAGAAATTTGGGGGGCAGTGCAAATGACTACCAGCTCTAGTAAGTGGAGGGCTTGGTTTCTGAATCCAAAAATTATCTGACTCCAAAGCCAGATTTCACAAAATCTGGTCTACTTAGTTTACCTAAAGTTCTGGGATTGGGAGATATCTATATCATTTGACCTTCTGTTGCTTTTCAGTGAGGGTCGTCTTTCTGAGGCAACCTAGGCTGGTCTAGAATAACTCTTCCTTCTCAGTTGTCATACGATGAGTCACCAACTCTATGGTCTGTGGCAGATGAGGGCTTGAAAGGCACTGTCCCCAACCACGCACTCTCCTGCTTGTGCATCTGTAGCAGAAATACTGTCGTTAACATCATATTTTGCTATTCTAGTTCCACAGCTGCCGGAGTGACCTAGCAGTTGGCTGGGCATACCCTGAACTGCAGAAGATGTACGCTGGGCCAGAAGCAAGGCTTCTTCCTGCAGACTTGGAAGGGGCTGATGACAAAGGCCTGCCAACAGTGCTGTGACTGTAAGTTAAGATCATTCACATTTCCATCTTTGTAGGCAGCCTGTGATGTGAGTTTGGAGGCTCCCCAACAAAGAGCCATGAATTAGAAGTCAAGAGCTTTGAAGTCATTCCTGACTCTGTCATCACTAGTTGTGTGACCTTGGGCAAGTAATTTAATCTCTCCGAAGTCTGAGTTTTCTATCTGGAAGAAGAATTCCAGTTCCAACATTCAGGTTTTTAAGATGAAAACTGCCAGTTTGTGCAAAATGTGAATGGCTGACATCTGAACAACACTTGATATTTTACAGAGCTTTTCTTTAGCTACCCTGTGATGCAGACATAATTACACTGATTTCCTAAGTGAAGAAACTCAGTCTTACAGGATCAGGTGAATTGCTCAAGGTCTCACAAATAATAAATAGCAGAAGTAGGACTTGAACATGTCTTCCATCTCCAAATATGATATTCTTTGCCCTGATCTGAGTCATTGACTCGGATGGTCCACAGGATGTGAGAAAGAACATACAAGTAAAGAGAATGGATAACAGAGAGAAAAACAGTACAGGATTTGGATTCTTGAAGACTAAGTTTGAATCCATTTACTGGTTTATACTTCTGGAAAAGCCATTTCTTTTTCTCTCCTCCTCTCCTCTCCTTTCCCCTCCCTTGCCCCTTCCCTTTCCTACCCTTCACTTAACTTCCTTTCCCTTTCCTCCTCTCCCCTTTCCTTCCTTCCTTCCTTCTTTCTTTCTTTCTTTCTTTCTTTCTTTCTTTTCTTTTCTTTTCTTTTCTTTTCTTTTCTTTTCTTTTCTTTTCTTTTCTTTTCTTTTCTTTCTTCTTTTGTATTTGGCACAAATAGGTAGGGCTTATAGTCATCCGGCACACATTGGTATAGCCATACTGCTGACTAAAATGTTGACATCCTTCTGTGCTGTTTGGTGAATAGCTACTCTAACTGGCCCCTCCTTTAAGATCCCCACCTACCTCCTCATTAATAAAAATGTCAGTGTGGGGCTCAGCAGAAGCCATTAAGGACCCACTTCATTACAAGGCTATGATTGGTCCCAAGCTATATTCATTGTTAAATATTTATAATATCACTGATGAGTGGAGATAATAGTAGTATTCTTCCCAATTTCAGTAGGCTGCTCTTGAAGATCAGATAATATAAAACAATGAAGATGACCTACCAGCTATAAATCTTAAAGGCAATGTTTTTTTAAATGTCATAGCAATGGCTTCTGGAAAGAATTCTGTTGTATTGAAAATACCACATAAGTTTTTACCTTGGTGAGATTTGTTGCCTATTAGCCTATTCAAGACTCTGAGACAATAAAGGAACTTATTTAAAATTTTTAACTTTGAATTTTCTAATAGTTGAGAATAGAGCTCATTTACTCCACTATAATACACTTGTCACATCTTCTGCTAATTTTGTGAGTCTTGGTTTTTGACCCTGAGTTTATTCTTTTCTCTATCTTTGCTTACTTTTGTATGGTATGTCATTCTATACACTGGCTCACAAGGTTCCTATTCCAGATGCTGCTTCAGTCCAGAGTCAGAGGCAGTCAACAACCTATAGCAGGTTTAGCATAGTACAGAAGTTTCTGGAGTCTAATATCCTAGAAAAACAAGAACAAGTAATAACAGTTGCAGGTATTTATTGAGTGCTTTTTTACACCTGGAGGATGCTGCTGAGTGCTGTACATATTCTACTGGTCATGGGGTTTGACTGTCCCTCCATTTCTCCACGTGGTTAGTCTAAGCCAGGGGGCAGCAAACTATGGCCCATGGGCTATCCATTCCTAGGCTTGTTTTTGGAAGAGCTAAGAATATTTTAAGTATTTTTATAGGAGTGAAAAAGAAGAATATTCTACCAAGGTTGTATGTGGCCCACAAAGCCTAAAGTTGTTATTATTTTGCGTTTTACAGAAAAGTGCAAATACATGATAATCCCACTTTGCTTATTAGTGGTTGTATTAGAGTTAGGCATGCTGTCCGCTCAAACAACAAATGGTATGGAGGCTTAACCACTATTTTGGATGTTAGGGAGACATCAGTAAGCAAAACAGACAAAAATTCCTGCCCTTGTGTATTTTCAATTCTAGTTAATGAGATATAAGTCTATTATTGTTTGGTAAAGGTTTCTCACATTCTTGTAGGGGATAGTGATAAACATAATTCATTTCCAGTTTAGATGTTTCTCTCTTTAAATGTGATACTTCTAGCTTATGATCACAAGGGAAGCCAGTTTGAGAGTCAACAACACATCAAGGGTGACAGAAGAGAAGTAAGAAAGAAATTAATTATACTGCTGAGTCAGTAAACCTTGAAATCTGCCGTAAGACTTCCCAATATATTAAATAAATTCTCTCTAAGTCCTTTTAAATACATTTTCTGTTACTTGAATTAGCAAACAGCATATGTATGCACATACATTATCTAATTTAATCCTCACAACAATCCTATGAAATATTTATCATTCTCATTTTCAGAAGAAGGATGTGAAGACCAGAGAAATTAACTGACTGTATAGTCAACACAGTAGTGGTAGAGCCAAGATGGTAACTCTGATCATTCTGAGTTTCACAGCTCTCTCTAGAACTCAGTTTCTCCTTCTTATGAAATTTCTCAGCAGTAAGAAATGTTAGAGGTCAAGACAAGAAGTCAATATGGAACAGTTTTTATGTCCTGAGCCTGTTTATATAACTGCATTACTGACTTTTATCCTCTTTCTTAGACCTAGAATAATCTTTCTTGACCCCTATCCTATAATGAGAAGGCAGAATTTTTCCATTTATTGAGAAGTCATTGCTCTAAGACAGTTGTATCAATGTATATAAGGAACCAGACACTGAAATCTCCAGCAGGGAGCAAGTCTTGTTTTGAATTTATATCTATATAAGATCAATCTGTTTTCTCCATTTTTCCTATCACCACTTAGGTTCCTTCATACCTTGTCTACCTGGTCTATGCTCAAACCACTCTGGCCTTCCAACCCAATCTTCACACTATAATGAGAAAATAAAGGCAATTTTTCAATAAGACCTTCAACAAAGCCTATTCAGCTTTATCTTTCTTCAAGATCTCCTGATTTGTCTGTTTCAGCCACACCAGCCTTTGTCAGCCATCAGCTTCTGTCTCGAATGATCTTTCTTTCCTTATATGCCCAATAACACCTATTTGACTCTGGCTCAAACTTTACTTTTTTATGCACGCCTTTATTGATCTCCCTACTAGATCAACTCTGCTCATTAGCCCTCCTTAGCCATGGGACAATATAGTGTTCTACTAGTTTGTATGGTTATTATATTGTGTGATTTAATTATTATGTTTTATATTTTATTATATTAAATATTAAATAAATATTATACTTAACATTTATATTATAATTATTTTGTGTGATTATTAATTTACTATATTTTATGTAGGAGCACAATGGCCACATTTGTTACTGTTGTAAACCCGGTATCTGGTACACAATAGGTGCTCAATAGATAGTTGTGGAATGAATGTATAAATGTATGCATATAAAGGCATCTTATATTTGTTCAGTGATCCAAAGCATCAAGAAAATTCTAGAACTCAGGTTGTATCAGTTTGAAAAACTGCAGGAAATACATGAGATCCTCAAATGGAACAACTGAGGAGAATTTAATTTAGGAACTGTTTATACAGGTGAAATAGGCTTAAGGGAAAGTAACAAGGAATGATAGAGCATCTTGGGGCTCACAACAGTGGGGTTGGTACCCCTAAACCTGAATGGGCAAGTGAAGGGAGAAGTTTCCTCCCAAAAAGAATAGGTGTGGTTCTAGAAGAGAGCCACAGGATAGGAATGGTGGCTGTTGTAGATAAACCCAGCCAGTTTGAAGGACCTCTCTAGTGTCCATTGATGTCAGAATTAAAAGAAGAAAAACATCATTAACCATCTTTTCTCTCCCTGAACCTCCATCTAGTGCCTCCCAGTGGGTAAACCTAACTGAAAGCAAGAGGGTAGAGAACTAAATGATATAGTCCATAAAGGCTACTTCCCAGGGCACAAGGCTGAGTGGGAAATGGATCTGGCAGGACAAAATAAAAAATTTCCAGCCATTGGTCCTTGGGACAATTCTATCTCTTGCTAAGATGACACTAAAGGGTAGCTTGAAAAGTTTTAATTTAATATAACAGAAAGGAATTACTAAAGTTAGAGTTTCATAGGTAACTGACAAGTTTTCTTATAATGAAAATTCCATAATAACTGTGAATAAAAAAGTACACGGGATTTTTAGTTAGACATAAAATCAAGTCATTGCTCTGCCAGTACAAACTTTGGTAGCTTGGTGTTCTTGTTTGTAGAGCGAGGATTATAGTGCTCATGTTATAGGGTCATTTTAAAAATCCAATGTCTGGCATATGGTAGGTGCTCATGAAATGGTAACTCCTATGAGAAAGATACATAGTTATTGCCTGCTAGAGCCTTGCACTATAATAAAGTCTCTCCCTCAGAACTCTTGTTGTCAGTAGGCAAGCAAGACCATCAGGGATGGAGAAATTAGAAATTAGAAATCTGGCCATTTGTAGCAACATGGATGGAACTAGAGGGTGTTATGCTGAGCAAAATAAGGCAGAGAATGAAATTAAAAACTAGAAACTAAGAAGGCCAGGGAATAACCAAATATCAATTGCAAGTCCACAAGGATTCAGGTCACAAGTCCTGCAGCTCTGCCATGTAACTGGACCACTCCTCACCTTTGTCCCCACCCCACCTCCCACTCACATCCTAGGATCTTTAAGGAACCTTCCAGTTCTAAAGGTGAGTGCATTGTAGATGATGAGGATCATATACATCAGTCAACTACTGCGTCATTCAGCTGCGTGCAGGTAAACCACAGGCTATTGAAGCTAATAATAGCAGGAGCAGTTTAGAACTCAGTGGGCAGTTCTACCTTAAGACAGTAGTGATGTCACACTACTTTAGCTCAGATGCATTGTGGGATGGTGACAACTTTCCCCCCACTTAAGTGAACCCCTGTTTGCTTGCTTGATGCCAAATGGCTCACATATAAACACTGAAGGACAGATTAAAGACCACATTGTACTTTACTTTGGCATTGCGTGAAGGGCATTATTTTCCATGTTGATAAAATCTGAAGGGAAGAGTAAGGGACAATGGACTTTTAACCACTAAACACTCACGATATCCCACAGAATGCCTTGGGCTTTGTTCTACCATTCTTGGTCTCAAGGCTTTTGCCATTAGGAAAAGTAAAGGCATTAGGCTCAGAGTATCCCTAGGGGATTGATCAGCATCCTGGGAGCTCACTGGAAAGGAGTAGGGGAATGAAAAAGGAGAATTAGAGGGCCTAGAAGACAAGTTGAGGTGATAATATTTATACATGAAGTTCACTGCAGGCAATATGATTCCTGCTCTCAAATAGCCTGAAACATTCTGACAGAGAGGGGCAGATGCCACCAGAGCATTAGTGACAAAGCTAATGACAGAGCCTAGAGCCTGCTTCGGATTCTGTGTCCCCCTCTCTTTCTCCCCTACCCAACTTGTGCTCTGTCTCTCTTTAAAAAAATAAATGAACATTAAAAAAATTAGTAATTAATAATGATAATGACACTAAGATTTATTGAGTGCTTATTATATCCCAGCCACTTCTTTTTTCTTTAATTTTTTAAGTTTATTGTCAAGTTGGTTTCCATATAATACCTAGTGCTCATCCCCATAAGTGCCCTCCTCTATGCCCGTCACCCCTCTTCACCTTCCCCCAACACCCATCAGTCCTCAGTTTGTTCTCAGCATTTTATTTTTAAGAGAGAAAGACAGAGTGCGAGTGAGGGAGGGGCAGAGAGAGAGAGGGAGACACAATCTGAAGCAGGCTTCAGGCTCTGAACTGTCAGCACAGAGCCTGACATGGGGCTTGAACTCACAGAGCACAAGATCATGATCTGAGTTGAAGTCAGATGCTTAACTGACTGAACCACCCAGGCACCCCTACCAGTCACTATTCTAAATACATTTATTAACCCATTTATCTTCATAACAGTCCAAAAGGCAAATTTTATCATCTCCATCTTACAGATGAGGAGACGTGGAGGTTAGTTAACTCTAATAAGGTCAAGTGGCCAATCCTAGGACTCAAGCAATGACCCAGACAGTGTAGTTCTACAGCTTTCATCGTAACTACTAAATTCCATTTTAAGTCATTGGGTGATAAATTAATCTAATGGATGGGTGGGAAAAATGAAAAGCACGGGTATGTGGGTAGGTAAACGAATGGGTCACATTTCAGGAGTTTCAAAATAAACTTTTTATTATGGAAATTTCTAAGCATACAAAAAATAAGGAGTTCAGTGAACCTCCATGAACTCATCACCTAGTTTCAACAACCATCAATGTTACACCATACCCTTTTTTACTTCTCATCTTTGAAACTATCATGAAAAATTTCAAACATACCCCCACAAGTAGACAGTATGGCATTTCACCCCTAAACACTCCAGGATGCATCTAAAAAAAAGAGGACAGATTTTGAGCCAAGTACAATGCCATGTTAAACCTAACAAGATTAACAGTAATTCCTGAATATTTATTATTTAATACCAACTCCATATTCAGATTTCTCTGATTGTCTTATCATTTCCTTTTTGTTGTTTTTCCAGTTAGAGCCAAAAACAGGTCCACTCATTATATTTGGTTATGTCTTTTAAGTCTCTTTTAATCTAACATCCTCCCTGCTCTGAAGAGGGGAGCTTTAGATGTTTGTTTGTTTGTTTGTTTGCTTGCTTGTTTGTTTTCTGAAGGAGGAGAAGACTGTAAGACACCTTTCTACTTTTTTTCCTCATGTACAGAAATGGGGTGATAGAGTTTCAGGAGAATAAACTAAAATCACCCCTGCTTTTTCGCATTTCCCAGGCCCCTCACCCACCTTCTTATAAATGACCATCCTGCTTCTGTAAGTCACTTTCTTATATAAGTAGTATAATGTTGCCAGGAAGAAGCTGGTGGATTTCCTTGCTTTTACCAGAAATAGAGAGTATATCACCACTCAAGGAAATTACTAATAATAGCTCTCAGTAAAACCCTTCCATTATAAAGGGGATATGGTCTCAATGAGGAAATTGACACTTAAAGATATGTCTATGTATACTTTTTTTTTTTTTTTTTTTGGGTACAGGAAAAGGAAACAACAACATGGGGTTGTTTCCATTGCAGGGAGGGACTCTTTAAGGTCAGAACTGGCTCCAAGCTGGCTGAGTCTCATGGATCTATGATTTCTGATATTTGGAGTAGACATCCAAAGAACCAGTCGTTCCTCTTCAGAGTCTGGATATGATATGCACACACCTTATTACTCATAGAAATAAAGCCTTAGGAAAGGCCTAGAGAATATCAAGCCAAGTGTTTTCAAACTGTTCCATGGGGCTCCATCCATGAAGGTACTTTAAGTATTTTGCAAAAGTTTGGCTTGAATTTCACTTAAAAAAAAAATGTGGTCAGTTCTTGATTCTGGTACTAGTCTTTATTTTGGCTTTCTTTTACAATGTCTGTCTTAGAGAGACAGCTTTCAGTAGATCATACCAACACTAAATAATAAATTATGTTCATCTTTTTATCAGATATCTCTGAAATAATCATTTTAAAACTGCTTTGGAGAAGGTACACAATCTTGATTTCAAAATACATTTTTGAAAAGATGCTTCTTTCTTATATACCTTGGAAAAATATCTTTTTTGGAAGTCATTCTCTTTGGTGGATTCTGAAATCGAGGAAGTCCCATTTGAGAATTAGAGAATGCCTACATAGAGTAGGAGTTGGGTAAATCAGGGTTTTATTTTTTTGTTTCTATATACAGTAGAAATAATTTTTTCATTAACTAAACACAAAATAGCATGTATTTCATATGGCTACATATTTCTGTATATAAATGCATTTTTAAATGTCTGAAAGAGCACATACCTAATCCAATATTGTTTACCTTGGAGGAAGTAGGGAAGGGACCCAGATTAGATAGATGGGCAAAGAGGACTTTGTTATCTATGTTGGATTTCTTTTAAAGGAGAACGATTTATTTATAGTTGATGTTTTTAGATATTAACTGAAAAATAATGAGTTAAAGACTTATTAAATCATATGTTAAACAGTTTTAAAGGAATACAAAGGAAATTGAGATAATTGGCACAAGATAGCCTTCCCATGTCATGCTGTAATTGCCTGACTAGTCTCTCCCCTTGCACTTCCCCCTGAGTCTTATCACAATCCCTAGTTTACTTACCACTAAGCAAAAACTTTCCACTACTTTCCAGAAGCTTGACTCTTTCTGA